TAAAATTAAGAAAATAAAAAAAAATGGTATTGATTCTAGGGATTCCAACTAAAAATCTTTTTTTACTTATATAAATGAGAGTATAAGATTCACTTTATGTAAGTGAAACAATTCACTTTTTTTTTTATCCGATATGGGATTGTAAAATAAAAAGTAAATGGAAGTTAGTCAATGAAAATTTTCTTAATTATTTAAAATTCAATCATTTTAGAATGAGAATTTGAAGTTTCGAGAAGACTTTTCCCCTAAAAATTTCATTTGCTTTATATAATATATAGAATAAATATAGATTTAATAACACACCAATTCATCCAAGACGTAGAAGTATATAAATATACACTTTATATTAGGGAGGCAGAAATTTAAATTAGAGGATATTATTTGGACTCGTGGGATGTATCACGGATTTTATTTTAATACTTTAAAACGTTTATTTTGTTGAACACTTCATATATATCATTCACAAAAAAAATTAGGTCAATTTGATAATTGTAACTTATTTAATTTATCGCGTGTGGGAGCCAGAAAAAAATATATTAGCCTATTAGGATTAACCCAAACAAGGCCTATAATGAGTCCAACCCAAACAAATATTACACCCCCCACCTATATAAAGGGGGGTATCCCAAGTTGAGGTATGTTCTCTCTCTCTTTACACTACACACCAAGCACTCTACACTTTCTAAACTTTCATTCTGCTTAACAGGTATACTAGGACCAAGTTCATCTCATCGTTGGATCTCTACAATCCATGTGAGAGGATATTTCATGGTCTCACAATTGGCGCCGTCTGTGGGAAACGTTTGCAAGAGTTCAACGAAGAGAGGAGCAAACATGTTCTTGTAAGTAAAAATTTAACTACACTTTTGATCTTGCTCTCTGAAAATTATTGTAAGAATGGTTCTTGGATTGGATATATGTGGGGATATATTTTCTGAGTCCCAAACATATGGCCAAGGTGACGCCGACGTGTCAGCCGAGGTGCCACGTGTCCAGGACATGACGCCGAGGTGATCTCAGCAAGGCCGAGGTTATCTCCGAAGATATCGGAATCCGAGATAAACGGATAAGGCACAAGAGTCCTAGAATGAGGAAGGACTATAGCATGGATAAGGATAGCACTTTTAGGGAGTTTATCTTTATCTCTTAGAGAGTTCAGGATAAGCACTGAGTAAGAAGTCCATTGAAGCTAGGCTTCTATGGGGACTATGATTGAGTTAACTATAAAAGAAAAGCACCCCCGATGGGTCTAAGGTACGCAATTTATATTCTGAACAGTGAGTTTAGCACTATTGATTATCTTTGAGAGATATACTGACTTGATCGTCGGAGTGACTCCAGGTGGACGAACCACCGCCGGAATCTTCTCTTTCTGTTGCAGGTCAGCCAGGTGTCATTTATTCGTCCAGTACTCTCCAACTGAATACTAAGTTGGCAGTGTGATCAAAAAATCACTCACACAATTTGGCGTTGTCTGTGGGAAAAAAAGGAGAATAGATGGCCAGCGACGGATAGAAGGACAAGGTTGGGGACGAAACCCCCGCTGGGAACGATAAGCACATTAATCCTAATATGGAGGAAGATGGACGCAATGAGGAGACTCAGAACCAGAATCACAGTAAGAAAGACATCGGCCGGGATGGCGACGTGCCAAAGAAACCAGATCGAAGCGGATACTACAACGAGGACGACCTCCAGGTATGGAAGGATAGATGCCTGCGGAGGGACGAAGAGGTGAGAGAGATGGAAAACAAGTTGGCAGACCTGCAATCGGTCGTCAATTTTATGATACAAAGTAATGTCATGCAGCCACCATACCCGCTGTAGGACACGCCGATTCCAGCGGTCAATACCCAAAAGGGAGGGCTGAAGCCAATCCCAATAGCCCCTCAGCACACTAGAAGCGAAAAACACTCTCATCGGCCTTCCAGGGAGGTTGGGCGAGGAGAGTCGAGGAGAGAAGAATCACGAAGGACACATCGCACTAAAAAAGCAGACCCAAGAGAACATCGACACGTTCAAAGGCAGGAGCTGTGCTTCGACATAACTTATGGAGAAAGGTCGAAAAGGGCCCACAACGAAGCTGAGAGTAGTATGCTGGAAAGACTGAAGTCGGGAGATAGCCGAGCTCCTGGGCGAACAAAGGAGGACTTGAGAGATTACCTCAAGAGAAAACAACAGAATGCCGATGCCGAGGTAACATCCCCTGATAAGCTGAGAACACCATTCTTAATGGAATTGGACAAATTTGAGGCGCCGAAGAGATTCAGTATGCCGAGGTTCCAAATATACGATGATAAGTCAGACCCCAACTTCCATGTTGGATTACACTTGAACTCAATGGCATTATATAGTGGGAACGAGCCGTTGCTCTGCAAAGTGTTCCCCTCATCCTTCGGGGAGATTGCATTAGATTGGTTTCACAAACTACCGAAGGGAAGTGTAAAGACCTAGGAAGGCCTGGCCGAGATATTTGTGGCCGGGTTCGTGATAAACAAGCTGTAGCCATTAAGGGTGGACGCATTGATGGCTCTGAAGATCAGTAAAGAAGAAGGCCTTAGGGCCTATGCAAAAAGATACTATGAGGTGTTCAACCGAATACTCGAATGCAACCAAGAGGTGGCAGTCGTGTCTTTTAAGAACAGTTTGAAAGATGATTGCGCTCTACAGAAGTCATTGGCAAAGACATTGCCAAAAAGCATGGAAGAGCTCATGGCTAGAATTGAGAAGTATGCCAGAGCTGAGGAAGATACGTCGGGGACAAAGGAGAAAAAACAAGAAAAAGGAAAGAGTTCGCCGAAGTGAGGCCAAGGTAACAATGAATCCAGCAAGCAAGAGGTAGGATTGGGGGCTACACAGGCAGTTACAATTGTGTTTCGAACCCCGATTCACAAAGTCTTGGATAAGATTTGGAACCAACCCTATTTCAGAGCGCCAGCAAGGGCACCGGGAGAGTTTATGGGAAGAAACCTTGGCAGACATTGTGCTTACCACAATGAAGATGGGCACATGACTCAGCGTTGTAGAGCCCTGAAAACACACTTAGAAGACCTGGTGAGGCAAGGCCATCTGAGAGACCTTGGCGATGAGGCCAGGACAAGGGAAGAACAGGCAAGACTGCCTAGGCACCAGCAGCCCCGCCTCCCCCAGCACAACAACCTCAGGCAGGAGGACCTCGGGTAATTAATGTAATTCACTCAAAGGTCAACGAAAATGAGATTCGGGAGGAGACCCAGAAGGTAAAACACCTACAGCATGTCTACCAAGTCGGGGAGAAGAGACATCGGGTAGAAGAGTACCAAGGACCAGTAGTGTCCTTTACTGAAGCCGACCTTGAGATGGTGCAGCATCCACATAACGATGCCTTGGTAGTATCCCTCAAGATTGGGGAATGCCAAGTGAAGCGCATCTTAATCGACCAAGGCAGCTCTTGTGACATCATGTACGTCAGATGTTACAAGGAGCTTGGCCTTCAACCAGACGATATGGAGCAATCCAATAGCCCAATGGTTGGGTTCAATGGAACGCCGACATGGCCACTGGGAACGACGAGCTTGGAGGTGCAGGCTGGCACTAAGAAGATAAAGACAGAGTTCATCGTAATCGACACACCCTCCCCTTACAATATCATCTTGGGAAGGTCGTGGTTGCATGCGATGGGAGATGTTTCCTCAACACTGCATCAACTATTACGGTTCCCAACAGAGCATGGGATAGAGGAGGTCAGAGGAGATCAGCTGCAGGCAAAGAACTGCTCCATGGCAGCAATGAAATCCACCTGCAGCATACGAGAACCAGAGAAGGCAGAGATCGAAGACAAGGACGTGGAAGTCCTAGAGGATATCGGCAAAGAGCCAGCCGAGAAGAGTGAAGAAGCACTAAAGAAAATCCTCGTCCAGGAGGGGGATGAAGAACGCTTCTTTCTTCTCGGCTCGGGCCTAGCTGACGAAAAGGAAAAAAAAGTTGGAGGCGTTCTTGAGAGCAAATATTGAAGTGTTTGTCGAAGTAAATAAATAAAGTTTTGCTCTTTTGTCATTTGCTGAAGCAAATAAATAAAGTTTTAGCTCGATTTATTCGTTTATACACTTGTGACTAATAAAGATACATAACGTTGTTTCTGGAATACATGTATAATGAGAACCCAAGTGGAACTTAGGTTCACATTAGGGGGTAGAGAAAAGAAAAATGGTTTTAACACTTGTTGAAACTTGCGAAAAGTTTACAAGTTGAAATTAAACCGAGATCATATTTAACACTTGTTGAAACTCGAGAAAAGTTTACAAGTTGAAGTTAAACCGAGATGACGTTCAACACTTATTGAAACTTGCGAAAAGTTTATAAGTTGAAGTTAAACTGAGATGACGTTTAACACTTCTTGAAACTTGAGAAAAGTTTACAAGTTGAAGTTAAACCGAGATGACGTTTAACACTTGTTGAAACTTGAGAAAAGTTTATAAGTTGAAGTTAAACCGAGATGACGTTTAACACTTGTTGAAACTTGAGAAAAGTTTACAAGTTAAAGTTAAATCGAGGTGATGTTTAACACTTGTTGAAACTTGAGAAAAAGTTTACAAGTTAAAGTTAGACTAAGGTGAAACACTTGTTGAAATTTTATGAAAAAAATTTACAAGCTGAAAACAAGGTTATGCTAAGAAAGGTACTTGGGTACTTGCCAAGGTAAATCATCAGTTTGTATAACCGAGGTGTTCCACCTCGAGAAGGTTGCACAAAGATTGAAGTGTATATTAAAGATATGCAAAATATTCGAAGTATGGAATAACACAAGAGCAATACAGAGAAAACAAAGATATAAGCATTCAGAAAAGAGAGTTATATTAAAAAGCTGACATATCGGCCAGAGCTTACACTGTTTTAAAAGAAAAACAAAAGTACAGAGCACAGAAGAAAAAGAAAAATATGAAATTAAGACTCTTCAGCATCATTAGCAGGCTGGGTTTGGACCTCGGAGGACTGCTGAGAAGACATCTCGGCGGCCTTCTCTGCCGCAAGCTCAGCGTCAATTTCTTGAAGGGTTACATCAAGGCTCTTGTCGGCGAAAGACACGTCAGATAATGCTTTCTCAGGAGTGGCATCCTTAGGGACTTCCTCACCCTCCTCATCTTGAGTCAAGTCCAGGACTTGCTCATTCAGAGAAGGGGACTTGGTCCCAGCAACCTCCTTTGATTTCCTTACCAAGGTCTTCTCCTTGGACTCAGATTCGCCGTCGGATTGAGTTGGAGTTGGAGGGAATGGAAGAGGAATGACGTCGGCGTTCCTGAGGGGCGAATCCTCGGGGACTTCAAGCTTTTTTGGAAGAGACATTTAACCAAGGGTGAAACCCTTGTTGCATGCCTGCTTCACCTGCTTTTCATAGTCAGCCGTGACATCGGCCACACCCTCATTGTAGCCCTTCTCATCGGCTGCTTGGAGCTCGGCGTCCTTCGTGGCCAAGGCTTCTTGCAGTTCTTTTTGGGCCTGGGCCGTCTTTTCCTCGGCCTCCCTCTTTTCGGCCTCAAGGACCTTCTTGATAGCCTCAGCGGATTCCGCCTTCTCTTCGGCGTCGTTTTGAGCTTTGATGGCACCCTCGGCCTGATCCTCCAAAGTCTTCATCTTTGACTACAAATTTTTGTTAGTCTTTTGCAGACTGGAGACCTCCCTCTTCTTGTCGGCCAGCTCCTACTGACTCTCAAAGGCTTGCACTGAAAAGGAATGAGCATGCTGGATGGCCTGAAAATGAACAGAAGTTATTAGAAAATATTATAAGTATGTAATGAAGAGAAAGAAAGAAAAATTACCCAATAAAGAGACTTACCTGAACAGAGTGCTAGAGCATCAGAGCATAGTTCTCATATTCGCTCATCTCGGCGTTTCGGTCGAGATCGCCGGGAAGGAGCAGAGCGGTACTAAGGGCGACGGCGACATTAATGTCATTGGCACTATCTCTAGCCTTAACTGGCTTATCTTCCAGTGTGATTTGGGGGGCCCAGGGGGCATCGTGCTTTGAAGACCCCGATGTGGTTGTAGCGGATGACCTCGACCTCTTTGATCGGGTAGACTCGGATGGTTGGGCCTCGGCAGGCCTCTTCTCTGCGGCAGAGTGGGACTTATCACTCTCAGCCAGTTTGGAGATCGGCAAGGTGTCCTCAGTGTCAACCTGAGTCACCTTTGCCTTTGGCTGAGCCTTCTTTATCCTTTTTTGCTTTGGCTTTGGAGGTTGGGTTGGAGCTGGTTAAGCATCAACAGTGGATGGAATGTTGGCCAAAAGATCCTTGGTGACTGCTTTTTGGCGGCCTATTTCAGCAGCAAAAACTATTCGGCGTCGTCAATGACGTTGGGATATCGGGATCGGATATGGAGCCGAAATAGACGGCTGCTCAGCCGGATCAGAGGTAGATCCTTGATCTGGCCGAGATGAAGAGGCTGCTTGAGGAGTTGTAGTGGAACGCAGAGAAAGGCTTTTCTTTTTCTTCTTGGGGACGTCGGAAAGAGCTGACTTGTAGGTAGGAATGAAATTGAGTAGAAGAGGGGCCTTCCGTTTGTGGACTGGTAGATCCAGTAACTTCTTCAAGCCTTTGCTGGGAAAGAAAGACTGACGGAAGCCCTTTGGTGGCTGAGGAAGAGCTGCAAGAAAAGCAGACATTAGAAACAAATAAAGTATTGAAGACTTTTAAATTGAATAAATGCAAACGCTGGGCTCTTACCATTGCCCTCTACAAAAACCGTTCGAGGAAGAGGGTAAAGATGAAGGTCCTCATCTGGAACGAACTCCCAGTTCCCTGAGGTAATGAAATAGTCGTCTCCAGCTCCCTTGTTGGAGTCTGGAAGGTCGGCTACGATTTTGTACTCTGTAGATCTCGGCTTGAGATAGTAAACGTAGCCCGTATCTTTTTTGAGGCCATACATGGTATAGAAAAATTGGATATCGGCTAAGGTAACCTTAACGTTTTCTTGTTTGGCTAAGGCTATGATACCATTAATAACTCGGTAGGAGTTGATGGCAAGCTGCATTGGGTTCAACTTATAGTAGTGAATGATCTCACGAAAAAGGATATTGAGTGGGAGCCGAAGTCCGCACTCGATGAAAGCTACAACAGGAAGGGGCATGGAATCAGCTGTGGGCATGATAGAGTCTTCCTCCCCAGCCAACCTCAGATGGATGTTGGCAGGGATGTCAAACTTGTGCCTAAAGTGATCTAACTTGGTCGGGGTGTCTACTCTATGTTTCCACATACCCATGATATCGGCCTAACTAGGAGGAACTGGGTTTCAGAATGAAAGTGTTTTAAAAGGGTTATTGGGACCTCGGCAAAAACCTAAAAATTTGTGGGGTAAGAAATTGTAGGGATCGTTTCGGTTTTTCCTAAGAAATTGTAGGTTCTACAGACAAATCCCAAACCTAAATCTATGGAAACGAAGATTGAAGGCACGAATCTGGAAAACAAAAAAACAAGAATGCGCTTCAGAATCAAGAACAAAGATGGACTATCAAGAACATTGTAAGTACGAAGGGTATAAGGTCAAGAACAGTGGCAAAAGTGCAAAAAAGTTGTGAGCAGTGCGTGTATTCAAAACATGGGCAAGAGAAAAATCATGAAATAAACGCATTCAGATGCGTGATTCATAAATCAAATACTTGAGTAAGAAAGCCGATGTCTCTTCCAATAATGAAACGAAACTTCTTGAAAAGCAACAAGAAACTGAAACCAGGAGGAACGGTGACTTACCAGAAAAAGAAAGCCGATGTTGAAGTTTGCCGAAGTCAGACGAACGGCAGTAGCGGGGAAGAGTAGCAAGAGTCTCATCGGAGGAGGTGAACAACGGTGGTAACAGAGCTTGAAAGCTTGGAACAATGGAAGATTTGAAAAGGCTAGAGAGAGAGAGAGCTTCTGAAACGATGTAAAGTGGAAAGACAAGGGAAAGAAACAAGTTTTGTCAAAACGTGAAGAGGCGGCAAAAAGGAAATTGATGAGCCTAGAAAAACGAATTTGTGAGACGGCGCATGTAGGCGCGAGACGACTTACAAGCGCGTACGGAGTACGATCCAGTTAAAGGAAGATACGTGGCTGAAACAGTTGAGTTATTTTGCATGACAGCTCATACGCGTGAAAGAGATCTTGGAAACTTTAAACCTTAAAGAGACATGTCGGTCTATATGATGATCTCGGCTGAGAGACTTTAAACCGATGTATTGGCAAAAAGTTCTGATATAGGTCCCATCACCTCAGGATGCCGAGGTAATAGAACTTAGGGGGCAGTTATGGAGATATATTTTTTGAGTACCAACACGTGGCCAAGGTGACGCCGACGTGTCAGCCGAGGTGCCACGTGTTTTGGTCATGACGCCGAGGTTATCTCCGTTAGGTCGAGGTTATCTCCGAAGATATCAGAATCCGAGATAAGCAGATAAGGCACAAGAGTCCTAAATTGAGGAAGGACTTTAGCATGGATAAGGATAACACTCATAGGGAGTTTATCTTTATCTCTTTGTGAGTCCAGGATAAGCACTGAACAAGAAGTCCATTGAAGCTAGGCTTCTATGAGGACTAGGATTGAGTTAACTATAAAAAAAAGGCACCCCCGATGGGTCGAAGGTACGCAATTTATATTCTGAACAGTGAGTTTAGCACTATTGATTATCTTTGAGAGATATATTGACTTGATCGTCGGAGTGCCCCCGGGTGGACAAACCACCGCCGGAATCTTCTCTTTCTGTTGCAGGTCAGCCAAGTGTCATCTATTCTGCCAGTACTCTCCAACTGAATACTAAGTTGGCAGTGTGATCGGAAAATCACTCACACATTAAGGATGCAGACTTTAATCAATGCACGGGATACAATTTTTCAAGGGTTACACTTGTATAAAAGTGGGATGTTAGAAATTTTGGAGCGGTCTGGATTTGTCTCCTTCCCACCGCCCTTCTTGATATGTGTGATGGGAATGTCGGGCCAAAATTCCAAACATTATTGAGTTTTTGTGTAAGGGATTGGGAATGTCATATTTAAGATGAAAAATGATTGATCTATTGAATTTGGGTTTATCCAAATTGTTCGAATTACATAAGTCGGACGGCTGACGTTATTTTTGTCAATTGCGACTGTCATTCTTGTCTATTGGTGTGTTAACCGACATCCGTTCAAATGACCGATCGGACGACAAACATACACAAATTTAAGCAATTCGAACTAGTCCAAACTCAATAGATGTGACAATGCTCATTTAAGATACCATCTGACGTGACATCGTGCTATTGAAAAAAAATGTAGTTGATGGCACTAAAAACATTGGTTGATTTAGTTTATATAATTATAAGAACAAATCTAGTTCAGAATTTCATACAATTATTTATTTATTTTCCTGTTGGATTTATATAGTTAAGCTTAGTTGGATTTCAACATGTATATTTCCTATCCAAGTAGATCAAAAAAATGAAAATAAAGGAAAAGAAAAAAAGAAAGGGACTTTCTACTCCAATTGTTCTTTCTTTGACATGAATAGATAAGAAATATTTGAACCTAGATTTCATCCAAATGTAATAATATACCAATACCTACTAGCGGCTAAAAACATAGATTGAAACTGTGAGATCCCAAAAATCCTTTCACATGGATTGTTTAAGAGACCCAATGAAAAGATGAGTTTAACTTATAATCTGCAAGAATAAACATGGTTGATGCCACCCAACTGGGGACACTCCGATCGTAAAGTTAGTTCTTATGAAATCTCGAAAATCCTCACATGGATTATTTATGAGATCCAACGAAGAGATGAGTTTGGCTTATAATCTGCAAAAATAAACATGGTAAATGACATCCAACCGAGATTGTCGGCTGGAGACACTTCGATGGTAAAACATTTATGAAAGAAATACCAAATAAAATGAAATGTGTAGTGTGTGGTGTAAGGTGGGAATTAGACATACCTCTATTCTTAGAGATGCTTTCCTTTTATAGAGGTAACTGAGCTCGCCCTAGACACTTGCTTGATGGGCTTCCTTGCTTGGGTTAGGTCCATTGTTAAGACTTGTTTAGGTTAATCCCAATAAATTGGAATGTTTTGGGTTACCGCAATTGTCCCAAAACTTTCACTTTCTTTAGTAAAAGGAACGAGAGTTTTTATTGCTGAGTTAGTGGCACAAACGGATGTTAGATCTTTGATAAAAATAGCATCCTTGATAGAGAATGCCTAGTCGATATAGGTCTTGCTCTCGGATCATCTTGCCAAGCTATGTTGTTCAAATAGATGTTAAGTTTCTTGATACATAACATCTTTGATAAATGAATAAAATAAATGAATGAATGAATGTACGTCTAAGAAATTAGGGCTTCGATGCTTGAATGCCTAGGTGTGCTAGGGTTTTGTTGCTCAAACGCCTAGCATGACTAGGGTCTTCATCTAATTTCCTAGCAAGGTAAGGGTTTGGTGTTCAAATGCCTAGCTTGGCTAAGACTTACTCAACTTCAATTTGCCTAGCGAGGTAGGGTTTTTGGAGAATTGTGCCGAACACAATCAAATGCAGAACTATGTCAAGCATAGGCAAATGGAGAATTAGAGGGACGTGGTTTCATCTCCATTGTTAAATAAAGCGCGTACGGGTCACTAACCTCCTTTGC